CTACTCGCTCGACGACGAGCGTGGCTTCACTCTGCTCTCGCACCCTGCCCGTTGTGGCCTCATAGGGATTGAGAATCCCGATTCCACTGTCGCGTCTGCGGCGGTTCACGTGTCCACGGTGTCTGCGTCCAAAGTGTTGGAGCAAGACCCCGAGGTGTTGTTGTGCCTCGCCGCGGACACGACACTCTTGGCAGCGGCACCCGCGCCTCCTCATGGGCTCCAACATCAGGATCTAGGACCCCTACCACGTACTCCCGCCCCCGTCGCCATCTGCACACCCGGGGAGGAAGGCCAACGCCACACCCATTGAGGTCGTGGTGGTAAACCACGACGAATGCGCCGCCGCGATGCAGCCATACCTCGTCAGCGGCGGGTGGTCGGTTGCAACGTTCACGGTGTGAAGGGACCGTCTAGAACTCACTCACTGTGCTCCTATGTCCCCGCCAGAAACGGCGGCAACGCTCACCTAGAGCACTGCGACGACACTATCCCATCGGACCATACGTCAGTGACAATAGAAGGGAGAAAGGGGATTGAGAAAAAAACTGTGCCACTTTCCATTTCTTTGAGGGATTGAGAAAAAATATAGCGAAAGAGGATTAAGAGGATATGCTGGAGCGGTTTGTTTTCACCTCATTCCTCTATATGATCGTTTTTGGGGGAAAGAGAATTGAGTTTCTCAATCCGATGGAGATGCTCTTATAGCTAAAGTAGAACAAAATTAACAGCCCTAGATAGCACAAAGTCAATAGAATCTAACCCGCTCTCCTTTCCTCTCTGTGTGATCCCACAAATGTATAACCATAAGTTTTTGGTGAATTAGTCTATTCGAGACTCAAATAAAGGTTATCATTGACTACAAACAGGATGTTGCGAACACCATGCTCAAAAAATCATTATTAATTGCCCATAACACATAACTTATCGTGGCTTTCATTCCACTACAAAGTACGTGTACGATCCTAGTTTATTTAGATGTTGAAATGAGAAAAAACTATTGATGTAACAAAATAATATAATTTTTTTTCTGTTTCAACATACGAACATGATCCTAGTGTGTTTAAATATTGAAAAGAGGAAAAAAATCAATGTAATAACAAAAATATAAAAAGGAGTTGGTAGGAGGGCCATCATGGACTCACGAGAGAGCGCTCTCTTGGATTACTCTGATCATTTGGGCTGCAGCAAGGCAATTTCTTGCCTCCACTTTAGTTAGAGTGACATTATGCAGCGTCCAGCAACGTCAATCGAACCCACAGATTTCTCCCCCGTCTAGACGTGGGGCGCCCAGGAGGCCAGGAGGCTGGCGGCAGATGAAGTGGTCTGCGCTAGGCCCATGGGCATACACACGCAAGATGCGTACGTACATCCGAGAGAGCCCCATCATCGAGAAATCGAGACGGCCCAAACCTGCCAACTCCTGCCCCCAGGAGCTGGGTTACAAGCCTGCGCTACCAGGCCCGGCGAGAAGAGGGTTTGGGAGTCCTTTTTTATGCCAGTTGAGCGTTGTTAAAATAATCGCTTTGGTGCTAAAAAAAAACATTTTTACGCGTGTGAGGTGTGACTTGTGAGCGCGTCGGTGGCCACTGGTTCGTTGCATTGACCGAAACGGGCCTCAGTTGGGCTACAAGCCCGTGGAGTGGATCGATGGATGGGGCCATACCAGACAGTCAAGATACCACCAGCACGTGTCATGTACCGCTAGTTCCAGGCCCGTAAAGAAAAGCATGTTGCAACCCTCGAACATTTGGGAATTGCAACTCTCGAATGGTCAGATTAGAAAACCCAAGGTGGATTAGGAAGAGCCTACTCCTATCTCGAAGTGCTCGTTCGCCTCGGAATGCGTGGAAAAGAGGTCGCTGCAAGTGCTTGTTCGTCCAGACGTGGTGGCTTGCCTGTGCTTCGTTGGCTTATTATTTATTAGCCAAATGATTAAAAATGTTTAAAGCCAAATGATTGATATAGTCGTAGTCTATTGGGTGCATATATGTTTTACAGTACATCTCATCTATCAATCTACTAGACTTTTAGAACAAACTTTACTATTAATACATAATTAATCTGTTTGTTTCCTTCTTATCGAGTTTCTTTTGAGCTCATTCGACATCCTAAAATCAAACTTACAACATATTTCTCTTTTCTTTCCTAAAATAAAACTTACAACGTATTCGTCTTTTCTTTCCTTCTCTCGTAAAAAGCTTACTCATCCTCTGACAGTTCCAACAATGACTTAATTATGAACTAGCTTTAAGTATTTTATTTTATATTTTAAAAGAAGAGAAAGAGCACTATCTCTCGATCGAGAGCTAATCTAGTGCACACATTTTAAGGTCATACAAGGTTGTCTTATGGGTGTAATCATACTAAAAGTTAACATTATTAATAGAGAGGTTATCTTAGAGCTATTAACAAGCTTAAACCGTTGAGGGTGCTCTTAGCATTCTCCGATCCTGTCGTGTGCCTATCACCTCTGTCATGTTTTCGAAATTTGATTCATCACTTGCACCGTGCGGAAGGCAACCAAACAGGGCCTAGCAGGACTACACTGCTGCTAGGTGGATCAGCAGGCGGTTCACGATTTGATAAAATTTAATGACATGACATAAAGATGTTTTTTAGAATCTTTTTATGAGATCTATGAATAGCACACCGTGGCAGACTATTGGTGTATTGAAACTCTTTTCCCAATATAAACCGCCTGCTGAATCGTCTCATGTTACGCACCGACACACACTAAACAGATCGTTTCTGCGTTTCCGATCCGCTGGCGTATCTATAAGGTTACGACGTATATGCCACGGCATACCCTGTAGCCCAGCCGAGGAGATATATACGTATATGTACATAGATAGAATAGAAAAACCTAACAGTAGCGCTCATTTCTCCGCCGGTAATGCTGCTTTTAGGTGGCCCATCAGTTCGGACGGATCCCGTATAAGTCGCTCGCTCGCTCTGCGCCCCGCCCGCATAGCCTGCTCCGGGACGGACCTAGCCCCCGCTCGCGCCGTACGGCCCCACCCGCGTCCCCACCGCCCGCCCGCGCTACGTGCCCCCGCACGGACTCACGCCTCCCATCACGCCGCGCTCCATCCACCTGCCCCTGCCCCCGTCGAGGTCCGTATCGCCGACGAGCTCCATATCGGCGACCTCCGAGCCACTCCGCGACATTGAGCTGCTCATCGACAAGCCTCCATTCGTCCAAGAAGCAAGTAGATACTACGCTGAAAGTGCATGTTGCAATAGTATGTTCCAATTATTTTAGATGTTTCAGAGGTATGTTGCAAGTGTTGTATAGCGATGTTGCAAAAGTAGATCGGGATGTTGCACATATTGTAATGGCTATACACGTATGTTTCTAGTGTATGTTCCAAATATTTCATCTGTTTCAGATGAATGTTAAAAGTGTTTTATCTAGATGTTGCATATACATGCATGTTGGAAGCATATGTTTCAAATGTTTTCAGGTGTTTCATATGTATGTTTGCGAGTGTTTATCCCGATGTTGCATATGTTTGCAATGGTTTTCAAATGTTTTTCAGGCGTTTTGACAAGTATTTGAGACGCTTGTTTAAGTGTTTCATTTGTCTTCTTTTGTATGTTGCAGTTATTGCATCTTGATGTTTCAAAAGTAGATCTGATGTTGCACATATGATTCGCGTGGGAAGTGGCTGACGGCGCAGACGACGTTTAGGGCAGCATGGGCGACGTCCGGGGTGGCGCGGGCCCAATGCTGATGCGCTCTCTCGCGAGCACGACGCGCTATGCGCTCGTTTGCTACCTCTGCGCTGCAGGGGCGGGACGCTAGCAGGTCCCTTGCAGCAGAGTTGTTCCGTTCCGATCAGGAGGGTCTATGATCAAACTAGTCTGACAGAGAGATAATAAAGCTCAGGTACTGACTCGTTTATAACTGTAAATCAAATATACATTAGGAGTAAGTAGCGTATTGTTTTTGAATTCTAATCCATAGTATACAGATTACAGATTTAGTCATTTTTTTTTGTCCAAACCTTAGTTTTATGAAATCTCGATTTGGAATTGTTCACAGACAAAGGCTTGTCTTCGAATTATTCAAAGACAAAGGCTTCCAGGCATTTATGATCACCCGCCTCACCGTACCTCCTTTGTGAGAATCCTTCATTCCCTCTCCTCTTTCTTTTTTTTTTTTGCTACAATAACCATTTGATAATTTGGTGTATGATATTTTTTGTGTCCTCTAGAAAACCATACAAATAGTATTATTTTTTGAACTATTATGTTATTTCTACTTGTATATGTATTAAATTATGAGACAAATTTTGAAATGATTTACCGAATTGCTAAATATGTTTTAGCAAATTGCACATGAAATCTTTGGTGTGGCTCCTTTATCAAAATCTTGGATTCGCCACTGTTCCGATCTATGATGTTTTAATTTTGATATGCACACACAAATTGACTCGTGACGTGGCTAATCATCGTGATGCTTGCTTTAACGAAAAGCCTGAAAGGTTCAAACTTTACGTCGGAGGCCGTGCGCGACCTCCAACAACCTCGGGGCATCTTGGGTCGTTGGATCGGGCACGGACAACGGATGGACACCGCGGCCCACTCGAGTGGACAGGGCCTAGTGCGCCTCCCGCCACGCGGCCGTCATGCTTTCGTCGTATCGGGGTTCTTGCGGGCCAAGTGGAGGCGGAGCCCACTGCTGGCTCGGCAGACGGTATAGCCTCTACCCTTGGTGGCATGGCAATGGCAAATGCGGTTTTCGATGGTGCACACCAACCACGCTTCGGGCATAAAACCCTAGGAATGCCCTCTCGTCACTGATCAGTTCGATGCTGATGCTGGAGAGAACGACCCTTCTTTTCTATTGAACACAACCCTTTTGCATCCTTGCATATTGCTGCTGGTTGCTAGGAGAAGAAAATACCATAGAGAGAGAGAAAGAGAAGTGCGCCACTCGCCAACAAGAGAACCTGGTGCCATGGATTTGCCATTGCTCTCAGCAAAAAGAAACGGAAATGGAGAAAGGAGCGAAGACAGGGAGAGAACGAAACCCTAGAGATTGGTTGGATCCTTTTAGACCCTGTGTGCCACAGAATAGTTTATTGCTGATGTGGTGTGTGGCTATGAGCCTAAGAGAACTGGTAGATGCTTTTAGGGTCGAGAATACCCGAGTTAGTTTAAGACATGGGCTCCTGAATTTTTTTAGAAAAAAAAAACAGAGGAGGCGGCTCAGAGTCTAGAACGACGACCATTGACTGTTCCATCTCTTATAACAGATTTCTTACAAATGGACTTTGAGCTCTGCAGGTCATCCTGATTATTCCAAACCTGAACGCAATCACAATCACGGCTAACTATCAAGCAGAACAATACATTTGCATGGCAGTGATGCAATAACCGTCGAAGACCGTGGCTACTTCCAGCGCCCACTGAACAATGTTTTCTACTAGTAGTGTTCAAACCAAAGGGGTTGGTGGCGTGCACCTGGTAAGGTAAGGTTAAGAAAGAAGGTCACAGTTCTTGATCCATAAAAATAAAATTAAAATATCACCTGTTGACTCAAAACCCAATTCCTCTGTTTAGAACTCTCTATCCCAGTTGCCTGCCACCTCGAGTTTTCTAACCATTGATCGCCCATGATTGCATCTCTGCATGTGTTGCTCTGCTAATCCTGCTGCTAATTGCACACTTCCCGGTGTCTGTCAGTGTCAACTCAAGAACCGAGGAGGGAGGGAGCAAGCCACCGTGATCCTCAGCCCTTCTAGCTCATCAGGTAAGCTTCTGAACCTTTTGTTCTTTGAGTCCAATTCAGATGGTTTCAGTTTGTGATCATGGTTGTGGAGAAGAAGAAGAAGAGTAGGATAAACTGAACAAAAAGAAGCTTCTTTGTGTTTTCAGATTACAGAGAATCAGAGATGGGGTGTGTGTCGTCCAAGATCCTGGCGAAATCAGGGAGCTTTCAGGAGAAGGTGAGCTGCAGCCTGGGCCACAGCTTCCAGAGGAGCAGCGCGATCGAGGAGATCATCCTGTCCACCTCTAAGAGCAACGGCGACCAGTTCCTGGCCCTCCTCCGCAGCTCCACCTCGTCGGCCAGGAAAGCCAAGGAGCCCGCCGAGGTGCATAGCCCCGCGACGGCGCCGGCGCCGGCCGAGCCGCCGGCCAAGATCGAGACGATCGACGTGTCAGAGCTGCTCGCCGGCCTGGAGGAAGAGGGCTGCTGCACGGCGGAGCAAGCGCGGGAACGGCGGCAGAGCAGTCGCGACGGGTCACCGGCTCCGTGGCCCGCGTCGGTCTCGGACGGCGGCGCGGCCGGGAGGGCGAGGAGCTTCCGCACGGTGGAGGAGTTCGACGCGATGGTACTGACGCAGCAGCAGCAGCACACGCAGAGCGAGAGCGGCTCGTCGTCGGAACGAGCGACCGCGCTGGCAACCGAGCATGAGGAGGAGCTTGCTACAGCCACGGCGGCGGCGGCGGCTGCGGCCTCGACCGCGGAGGCAGAGCTTTCAGGCGGGTCCGGATCGAAGGCCGCCGCTGGAGCCAAGAGGCGGGCGAGGGCGCGGCAGCTGGGCGAGCTGAGTGTGCCGGCGGCGGCTTTCGACTTCTCCATCTCCAAGTCCGGGAGCCTGCGGGACTGGCTGCGCCAGGGCGGGCAGATCTTCTCGCCGGGCTCATACGTCACGCCCAGGTTCGGGACGTCGCCAACGCCGGCTGAGCGCGGAGGAGGAGCCGGCGGCGAGCAGCAGCAGGCGCTGTTCGACCCGGAGCTGGTCGCGCAGTTCGAGCGCGCCATGGAGCAGCTGTCGGAGGACGAGGGCCGCGTCCTCGACGAGATCCTCGAGGCGCTGGAGCTGGAGGCCGTGGAGAAGGATGGCGCGGCGGCGGCGGTCGGCGGAGTGCGCGATGGTCAGCCGGCTGACGTGGCGGCGGCTGCACTTGTGCAGCAGGTCTAGCGGGCGTCGGCGGTGGTCGTCGGCTGCGTTTCGTTAGGTTTTAAATTCTTAAATTTTGGTGCTTCGGACGCGCTTTTGAAATTGTAAGTACGAAGTGTTCAGCGATGTTTTTGAGTAATTTTCATATGGGTTCTTCCCTGCTACTGCGAGCATATGTTTTGTTGATTTGCAGTACATTTGAGGAACTCTTGTTCAGCGGAAAATGTGACGGGTAGATGACGCAAGATGTTCAGCAATGCTTAAACTGATCGACCAGGTCGCTCTTAATTTGAAACGTAGAAATTTCACGGAATAATTTAGTAGTGTGCAATAGTAGTTCCATTTCAGGTGAAAACGTAGGATTCAATCAAAAGAGAAAAATGGAAACGTGTTCTGGAACGAGACTCGCTCCTCCCTGCAGCACGCAGATGATAGCCAGAGTCAAAGATTGAGGTGCAGCTCTGATAGCAGGCGCCAAGCATTTAGGCAGCTTATTTAGGCCCCTTGCTGAAGGGCCTGTCAAGAATGGATAAATTTCACAGAAATTGACTCATTTCTTTAAACAAATATAGAAAATAGAAAAAAAACTTCTACATTTGAAATGGAGTAATTCACGAGAATCAATTTATTTTTACAGTCCCCGTGTTCCAAAGGGACTTAGCAATGGTCCGTATTTGTAAGTGGCACCAAGCACAGGTAACAGGTTGCGTGGCTTGATTAGACGTTCTATTTGAGCGGTTCTTGTATTTCATCCAGCGTCTATCTTATCTTAGTACAAAGAAGCACGTCTTTTCTGCGAGAAGAAGAAGCAAACAACAATAAAAAAAAACGCGTTCCATAGCCACGCACGGGGCCTTGTCGGTTACCTGGGAGAATTATAATAGTAAGCAAATTTATTTTCCTTAAAAAAAATCCACTAACCAAGTCTCAAGGAGTCAAGGCCATCAGGCATACACTCTCAGTCAGTCACTCCATTCAACAAGAAGCTTAGCTTAGCAGCACGCCTACAGCCAAACATGCTTAGCATCAGCGCTGCAGCTGCTAGAAATCACTGTAGATAGAGCATTTTTGTGTCTTCACTTGACAGAAGCAGCAGCCGAAACGGCTGGCTTTCCTGCCAACGATAAATTTTTAAGTTGTAATATTGGACCGTCTCGTGAGTAATCAGCTAGCTACTCCTATGTACCAACAACAAGCAAACAGTCCAGACATCACGGAATATACTAATCTGAAGTCTACAGTCAGCACGGAATGAAGCCATGCGCGGTCCGGCCGGGCCTCAGCAGCCGCCACGCCATGGGCCTGGGAATTTGAGCCCAGACATAGCGCTTGGGGCTACTCTGGGCTCGCGACGAAGAAGGCTGGGCTGCTGCAACGATCCTGAGCCCACGCAGCGGCAGCCTGCTGCCTTTCTGCCTCTCTAGGATGGCGACGGGTAACGTTTTGCACCCGGCTGCCACGAAAATTCCCCACTCTCCTCCTCCATCCTCTCGCTCGCGGGGACAAATTATTATTCCTGTCTTTGTCCCCATCCCTGCCCTGGATCACAGCCATCAATTCATCGAAAGGTATGAAAAAAGAGGGATATGATGGAGCATGAGTTTCACGTTTTCGAGACACAAAATTATTGACATGAAAGCAATAATAACCATAGTAAAGAAGATAAAGGAATTAGGACTCCATACCATACATAGCTTGAGAGAGTTCACTCCACCGATCATGCACTAAACCAAGCTGCTGCGACGACTTTGGTAGACGACGATGAGAAAAAAAAGCTTTTCTTCTTCTCAGGTCGAGGTGGAGCAACCCTTTCTTGAATCCCTTCTTCTTAGGTCGAGGTGGAGCATCAACTGCGCCACCTTGGATCCGGTGGCAGCTTAGTTTGTCTTGGGCTCGGGTGGAGTTAGATCCCACGCCGGCTAAGTTATGGCAGCCCTTGATGAGGACGGAAGCTGAGCATCCAAGGTCTGAACACCGACGTGAGAAGAAATACAACAACGAACCAATATTTTGGGCTGGCAATTCGCGAGCATAGGTTTTGTGTGGGCCTCCCCTGTTGCCTGCCGTGCTTGTGTTGAGCGTATACGGTATGCCTATTCGACTGGCTATCTCCTCGAGGGCTGAGAACCCGATGCTTTTAGTTCTTTGGGCAAGTGTAGCATAGCAATTCAAGCAGAGGTTGCCCTAGATGCCGACGGGTAGGATTCGAAAGTTGACGCCGGCGCGCCGGAAGTGGCAAGTTGGCAACGCAAAAGGTGAGGCCAGGCAACACTGCGGTTTAATTTGCAGCGTCTGCACCTCCGCATGCCGAGGCACTACAAGTGTGAGATGTCTCAATGCCCATGAGTCGATCACGGTGCGTGCCAAGTAGCTGGCTGACAACATTGTCCGATCAACCCATGGATTAAGCATCAGACGCGTCAAAATAAAGGTATGGGCCAACCGGTGGCAATTACAATCACCGAGTCGTAGTTGTTGTTTCTAATTGTTGTTTGTTTAATTTGTGTCCTTGTTTGTTAATTACTTAATTTGGTTGGTCAATTTATGAATGAGTGAACCTAATAATAAGGTAAAGATTGATAAAAAAAGAAAGGGCAACGCTAAAACCAGAGGCACATAATGCAATTTTGCACATTGCAAATTTGAAATAAGATTAGTTCACATTTGTGCTCTTATTCGCCAGCTCTCCACCCTGTTTCCCCATCATAATCAAGTAGAATCACTCCACTAGAGAATCAAGAAGTAGAGCTAAAGAATCTAGGAGTGGAACTAACTCTGCCAAGGAGGCCTTTAGGTAACTTAATGCGGTGGTATCATTGATCATTATATTTTAGAAAAATAAGGATATGCTATCAGTAGTATTATTGATGATGTTTGTGTTGCTTGATGTTGCAGCAAGTGCCTCCTTTTCGATTTAATTCAGTACGTATGTCTCAGGTGCCCCTGCTCTGACATTTTTTTAAAAAGAGAATGTATTAAAAATATCCCAGCCTCTGCATCGACCAATACATATAGTTGTTCCTTATTACACACAAGAGAGCTGGAGTCCAAGGAATCTCAAAAACGAAGTTTTGAGCTAGAGAAAACAACAAAAGTGTTTGTAAAAGCCACATCTATAACCCAATTCTATTGCTGAATCTCCATCAATGTCTTGAAAACACCTTCATCGCACTTGTTTCAATATTCCTATATCCCATCTTCATCACCTGGCGATTCTCCTTTTTCTGCAATAGGGACCAAAACCTGATCCAGTAAGTCCCCCTGAAGATAACCTGCAAGAAAGATGGTGCTAGGACCTTGTCAAACACTATATTATTCCTAGTTAGCCATAGCGCCCAACAAATTGCACTAGCTCCCACAAGGATCTGAGATTTTAGTTTCCTATTTAACCCTTCCAACCAACCTGTAAACAAATTATGTATGCTAGTTGGAGGTATTAAATTAAATAAAACATGGACAATTCTTCACATAAATTTAGCAAAATGACAGTCAAAGAGTAAATGTTGTATAGACTCATCAGAAGAATAGAAACAACACTTCTTATCTCCTTGCCACTGCCGCCGTGCTAAATTATCTTTTGTTAAAACTACTCCCTTGTATAGATACCACATAAAGACTTTGATTTTGAGAGGTAGTTTTAGCTTCCAGATTAGAGTATTACAAGGTACAAGTTCTGCTATTAATAAGGCTCTGTACATGGATTTAACTGAAAACAATCTATTCTGATGTAGCCCCCACACAAAACGATTCCTTTGGTTTGTTAATTGTACATTCGCAACCATCGCAACTACATCGTGCCATGCTTGTAAATTAACACCTACCAGAGATCTCCTTAAAGCTACATTTAAAGGTGCCATGGATAGCACCGTTCTTACATATGCACTTTTTTTCCTAACAATATTATATAGTGCAGGAAAGAGCAATTTTAGTGGACGCGGTCTTATCCACGAGTCCTCCCAAAATCGCAATTGCGACCCATCACCTAGATCAAACTTACCCAACGAGAGAAACTCCGCCTTGACCTTCATGAGGCCAGCCCAAAACTGAGTCTCCGGGCATGTATTGAACCTATGTCAAAGTCTTATCTCTTAGATATTTACTCCTAAGCAACTGTTGCCAAACCCCATCTCCATTTATCAACTTAAACAGCCACTTAGTTAGGAGACACCTATTGTGGACATCTAGATTTAAGACCCCCAACCATCCCTTGTCTTTGAGTGTACATACTACATCCCACTTAGTCAATCTATATTTCTTCTTATAGTCATCACTCTGCGAGAAAAACCGTGACATAAAGTAATCTAACTTCTTCAAGACCCCTCTAGGTACCTCAAAAAAGGAAAACATAAACATGGGGAGGCTACTCAAGACAGAGTTGATCAACACAAGCCTCCCTTCTTTCGACAACATCTTACTTCTCCAACAGTTCAACCTTTTTTAAAATCTTTGTTCAACATGTTTCCAATCCTTATTCATGAGTTTTCTATGATGCATAGGAATTCCTAAATATCTAAAAGGAAACGAACCCATATCACACCAAAAAATGTGTGCATACTCATTTTGTCTGACTTTGGCTGCTCCGTAACAAAATATTTCGCTTTTGTGAAAATTGATCTTGAGTCCTGACAACTGCTCAAAAGCACAAAGTAAAAGCTTCATGTTTTTGCCCTCTCTAGATCATTATCCATAAAGATGATAGTGTCATCTGCATACTGAACGACTGAAAGTCCCTCATCTACCACATGCGAAACAACCCCTTGGATTTGTCCAGCCTCTTTAGCCCGTGAAATAAGGACAACCAACATATTAACTACTATATTAAACAGAATTGGAGATAACGGATCTCCCTGCCGCACTCCTTTCCTAGTTTGAAAAAAATGTCCTATATTATCATTGACCTTTACTGCAACACTCCCTCTAGACATAACTTTTGAGATCTATTCACACCAAGTCGGTGAGAATCCTTTCATTCTGAGAACCTGTTGCACAAAAGGCCACTTTAAATTAACGTAGGCTTTCTC